TCGCCAGTTTACGGCGGCAGGCGCCCACCCGCCCACCCCGTTCCCCCCTCGCATGCGGATCCCAGGGGGGTGGGAGGTGTCATCAAATCGAACCAGGGCTCGCCCTGTCTCCGCAGGCCCGCGCTTTGCTTAGAGCCTGGGGGCACTCGGGCACCGCTGTGGCATCACCGCCCTCCATAAGTAGGTGATCTGACGTTGCGCACCTTATGCGGATGGCATGCCCCCTCTCTCTCTCTCTCTCTCTCTCTCTCTCTCTCTCTCTCTCTCTCTCTCTCTCTCTCCATCTCTCTCTCCCTCTCTCTTTCTCTCTCCATCTCTGTTCCCCTCCACCCGTGCCCTCCCCTGCCCCGACCTTCAACGCGCCCCCCCTCCGTCGACGGCCTGTGCGCCGCGGCGTTCTCGGGCACGTCCTGGCAATCGGGCCCCGTCGCCCCTCGCTACCGTCATGCCTACTGTCCCTACTTAAGGTTCCCAATGTCAGGATGTGCTACTTCGGGCACCCGAGGAGGTATGCAACGTGGCACGACGAGAGTTTGAATTCTGTCCTCTCCAGATTGGCACAGGCCAGTTATTCTAGGGTCACGTGCTGGGAGAAAGGCGCGTTCGCGCGCCTCGACCTGCAATTCTATTTGGACCTTGGTTTTTCGAGCTCGCACCCCACGTGACTCACTGCCAAGTGGTTCGCGGCGAACCGCCCCAGAGGCGGAGAGGGCTGCGAAGGGAGAGCGGGATGGTGGGGGGAGGGCGGTGCGACAGAGGTGGCGGGGGAAAAGGGGGGGGGGGCTGCGAGATGTGGAAGTGCAACGACCGAGTGGCCCTGGAGGGCCACCATTGCCAGGGCCTCCAAGGACTTCAACAGCAGCCCCCCCTTCCCCTTTCCACCCGCCTCTATCCTCTCCCACCGCCCTTGCTTGAGAGATTCTGGCGGCCGCGGCCTGGGCAGTGGTCGAGGGGGAGGGGGGCCAAGGGCGTTCGAGGGGGACAGATGGCCCCACCGGCCAAGGTGGACTGAACCGCCCGTACAGTGAGTAGCACGGGTGCGCACGCTGGCCCAACGGCGCGGCGCACGTAAGAGGATGTGACCAAAGAGGGAATGTGACGTAGGAGAGAAGAGGAGATGAGGAGGCGGAGAAGAAGGAGGAGGCGGAGAAAGAAAAGGAGACGGATGAGGAGAAGGACGAGGTGAGTACTCAAGAATTGAAGGACGCGGAAGAGGAGGAGGAGGATGATGATGATGAGGAGGAGGAGGAGGAGGAGGAGGAGGAGGAGGAGGGGGGGGCGGAGGAGGAGGAGAGGACGGAGGATAACAGGAGAGAGAACATGAGGATCGAAGAGAAGGAGAAGGAGGAGGAGGAGGAGAAGACTGAAAGCAGGGAGGGTTGGAACACTGAGGATCTGAAGCTGGCAAGAGAGACGAGGGGGGTAAGGTGGAGGGGGGGAGGGGTGGGCGAAATGGAAAAGGAGGGGGCAGGGCGAAGAAGCAGAACAACGATGACCCGCGGAAGAGTAAACGCAGAGACGGATGACAGGAATACCACGGGGATGATGACACTGAGAAGGAGGATCAGGGGGATCAGGGTACGGGGGATTGGGCTGGATCGCATTGTAGGCCAGTGGCGCCTTCCCACTGGCGCAAGTGCCGCCTTCGGGCGAACCAGCGCCGTAGCTGGCGTGCCAGGGTCAGGGAGGGAACAAGAGGGAACGCGAGAGGGGGTCGGAGGGAAGGGGGGGGGGGGGGGGGGATGTATGGAATTGGAAGGAGAGGGAGGACCAAGAAGAGGATAATGCGGAGGGAGAGGAGGAGGAGGAGGAGGAGAAGGCTCGAGGAGGAAACAGGTGAGGAGGAGGAGGGGGGAAAGGAGAAAGATAGTGAGGGACAACATCAGCCTGCAGGGGGATGACCAACGCATAGGCACGCGAGGCAAAACGTCCTGCGCGTTCTCGGGCCCCCCATCCGAGCGGAACCCCCCGCGCCATGTGGCAAAACATTGCCCGCCGTGCTGCCGCCCTTGCTCGTTGCCCCCGTCGTCGTCGTGGCGGCCGTCGTCATGGTCGTCCTCGTGATCGCCGTCATCGTGGCCGTAATCGCGGCATCATCGGCGCCGCTTTCGCCGACTCTTGTCGTGCTGCGGCTGTTGCCACTTGTGCCGCTGCCCCCTCCCCTGCGCGGCACTGCGTTGCTTGCGCCACATAGCTTGCCCAACACCGCCCGACCGCTCGCGGCCGACGCGGCCTGGGCGCTTACCGCCCCCCCCCCCCCCCCCCCCCCCCCCGTTCCTCGTCCTGCCCGCCGCCGTGAGCACAAAGATGCTCGAGTCCACGATGCCTCCCGCCTGCGGGTGGCCTGGGACATTCCGCGCACGCGGGCCTGCGCGCGCCACCGCAAGCAGCGTCGCGCAAACACAACAGCAGCAGCAGCAACAGCAGCAACAACAACACCAACAACAACACCAAACCACCAACAACGAACAACAACTCCAACGACACGAGCAACGCCAACACCAACAGCACAAACACGGCAACGCAGACACACACACACCAACACCACACGCAATACCAACAAACACAAAACCAATAACAACAACACCACCAACAACAACAACAACAACATCAGCAACAACCACCACAACAACAACAACAGCAACAACAACAACAATCATACCAACACGCCAACGCCACCACCATCAACAACAACGCCAACAACACCAACAACGCCATCAACAACCCCGCCACCGCCATCAACAACAACAACAACAACAGCAACAGTGACAACGACAACAACACCAGAGTTCACTGCGAAATTCGAGAACGAACTGCATCGAACACGCCACGTCCTGTACAACTTGCGGGCGCACCGATGAACACGTGTGCATCCAAGCGGGATTGCGCGCTGCTTGCCGACATTGGCTACATTTATGTATGACATGTGGCCGGTATGATGTTGTTGCTATGTTTGATAGTTGAAATGCTTGTTTCATGGAGCGTGCAATATTTATATAATGAGCAAGGCGTCTTGCTTGCTATGATATAACAAGAGCCATCTGGGAACGGATGTATAGCAACTTCGCGACCTCTTGGGACCCAGATTCTCAGAGGAAAGACTGAGAGGAGGGTGTTTTCCAAAGAGTGGGCTTCAGCTTGGGATTCCGACTTTGATTATATGTCAAAAGCGATGCAACAGGTACACGGATGGAGGGCGTTTCTTTTTTTCAAAGCGGGGTATAGTAAGACGCTTCTTCTGGATGTAGTGACCCATATGTGTCGGATTTGTCATATACGGATGGCGGTGCCCCTTGAGAACGCAGTTCTTGTTTGAATTGCGGGGCCATGGGGCGTTTATCTTTTCAACGGGCTGCTTCGCGACGTGAGCTGCAATCTTACTGGCAGGGGTGATTGGGTAGGGGGTTCGGTGATGTATGTCGGATTTGTTTTGGTCCTCGTCCTCGTGTTTCCCATGCACTGTTGGATCGTTGGAGGAACGTCTGTGGAGGTTCCATTTCCGAGAATGTTTGATTGCATGCGGTCTTTCTGTGTGAGCACATAATTCGTCATGTGTTCGATCGACCTGCGGTATTATAAAACTGCAAAGGCCTTCCACCTGGTTCCGCCGACCTTGAACATATATCGGCAGCGTCGCAATAGGCGGTAGAGGAAAATGCCTCCCAAACGCCTCTTACAGGCTTCTTTGCGGTATCGGGAGGTTGTTTGTGGGGTAATCGGAAGCCTCCTGCTCGTTTTGTGGGTGTTTTTTGGCGGAGGCGTCGACATGTCAGGTTGTGCGAGCGCTCAAAGTACCATACCACATTATCGCACGCTCGCGTGCGATAGCGCCCAGCAGGAAGACCTTCCACTTCTTCCTCTGCCATCACAAAGTGAGCGCCGGCGCCTTCTGCAGACTGCTCAAGATCCACTTGATCAAGGATTCGATGGGCGCCAACTTGTGTGTATATATAGTATATATATATACACATATATGTGTATGTGTATATATACACATATGTATGCATGCATGCATGCATGTATGTCTATATGTCTGCCTGTCTGCCTGTATGCCTGTCTGTATGTCTGTATGTCTGTATGTGTGTATGGATGTATGCATGATGTAATAATGTAGTAATGTAGTGATGTACGTATGTATGCATGCATGCACGCATATATGTATGTGTGCATGCAAGTACACATATATATACATATATATGTATATATAGTTATGTGTATGTATGTATGCATGCATGCATGCATGCATGCATGTATGTATGTATGTATGTATGTATGTATGTATGTATGTGTGTTTGCATGTTTGCATGTATGTATGCATGTAAGTTGTTTGGTTGGAATGTATGTCTGTATGTATGCATCCAGGTTGAATCTGGAAATCACCTGGCTTTTCACCTGGGTAGTTTCTGGGAAGATCTGGAACATCTGGACAGCACCTGGTGTTTCAATTGGGTAGTCCCTGGGAAGATCTGGAATAGCTGGAACATCTGGGAAACACATGGTTTTTCACTTGGGTAGTCTCTGGGAAGAACTGGAATATCTGGGACATCTGGAAACCACAGGGTGTTTCACTTGGGTAGTCTCTGGGAAGATCTGGAACATCTGGAACATCTGGAACACACACGGTTTTTCACCTGGGTAGTCTCTGGGAAGATCTGGAACATCTGGAAAACACAAGTTTTTGGAGAGAGAGAGAGAGAGAGAGATAAGGAAAAAAAGAGAGAAAGAGAGAGAGAGAGAGAGAACGGAAAGGCAGTATTCGAGGATGAGGAGGCGAAAAGGTATGATGACAGGGGGTCGACCATAGGCTAGTAATATGGTAATCCACATATCTACCAATAGCAAACGACTGCGTGCATGCTCGCCGACATTGGCCAGGTCCATCATGAGCCCAGGATCCGTATATATGCCTGTGCCCAGGATCGGCGTATGTGCCATCCTGGCCAAGCCAGTGGGGCGTATACACCGAACATCGGGGCCGTCTAAGGATCACCGCATCCGAGGCTACGTCTTCCTTGATGCTGACTACCTCCAAGACCTGAACAACCTTTTCGGTTACGTGAGCGGCGAGACAGAAACGTTGGCGGCACTCTGCACGCAAGAGCTGCTCACGAGGCCCTGGTGCGCAGGCGAGTTGACCACGGCACGCTTGACCAAGGTCGACGTCGTGCTCCTCATCTTCCCAGGTTTCGAGTGGCCCACGCTAGACTTCGTGGAGAGCTACGACGCTCATGTGCCTGGCGTCTCTGGTCTGACTCCATTTGGTATTAGCTTGGAAATGGTGCAGGATACGTTGCGACTGTTTCACCTTAACAGCTCCATCACGTTCGCTTCGCGGCGTTCCATCCCCTGAGTTGCAGTACGAGCGCAGTGGACATGTGCACACACATATCGAAGGGCAACGTCTGCAGATATAGGCAGGGGACGAGGATAAGCAGGCCAGGGAATATGAGGAGGTGCAGGGGTTACGAACGAGGAGGGGGAGGATGGGAAACAAGAGGAGGAGGACGGGGAGGAGGAGGACGAGCAGGAGGAGGAGGAGGATGGGGAGGAGGAATTGGAGGAGGAGTAGCAGGGAGGATGGAGGAGGAGGAGGAGGCGGAGGAGGAGGCGGAGACAGCGGACAGGTCGGAAGGGGGGTGATGGGGAGGACGAGGAGGACGAGGACGAGGGGCATGAAAACGAGGAGGAGGAGGGAGGAGGAGGAGGAGTGATGGCGGGGGGATGATGATGCTGATGATGATGATGCTGATGATGATACGGATGCTGATGCTGATGATGATACTGATGCTTACACTGATGATGATCGTGCTTGTGATGGTGATGGTGACGATGAGGTTGAGGATGATGATGATGCTCATGGTGATGATGATGCTGGTGGTGATGCTCATGATGCTGTCTCTGGTGACGATGGCGATGACGATGCTGATGACTATGACGATGACGATGGCGATGGCCAAGACGATGACGATGACGATGATGATGATGATGATGATGCTGATGCTGATGGTGATGCTTGTGATGATGCTGGTGGTGATGATGACGATGGTGAGGATGTTGACGATGCTGGTGATGCTGCTTATGATGATGATGCTGATGATGATGCTGATGATGATGATGATGCTGATGATGATGATCATGATGATGATGATTATGATCATGATGCTGTCGATGATGACGATGATGGCGATGCGGATGATGATGTTGTTGATGCTGATGATGCTGATGATGATGATGATGATGCTCATGATGCTGATGATGTTGATGATGCAGAGGATAAGCAGGAGGAGGATGAGGAGCAGGATTCAGGAGGGCTGAGGAGGAATCGTACGAGTCCAAGAGGGTTGATCACGACACCGAGCTGGAGGACGCGACGGATGCGGAAGACCTCGGCGATGACGTTTTAGACGAGGAGGAAAGAGGAGGATCACGAGGAGGATGGAGGAAGCAGAGGAGGATGATGATGGTGGTGATGTTGCTGTTGCCAATGATGATACTTATGCTGATGACGATGACGATGACGATGATGATGATGATGATGATGATGATGATGATGATGATGATGTCGATGATGTTGATGATGATGGTAATGATGATGGTAATGATGATGCCGATCATGCTGATGATGCTGCTGATGATGATGCTGATGTCGATGGCGAGTTCGATGACGATGACGATGACGATGGCGATGCTGATGCTGATGCTGATGATGTCTGTGCGGATGCTGATGCTGATGGTGATGATGATGTTGATGATGATGTTGATGTTTATGATGATGACGATGCTGCTGGTGATGGTGATGTTGATGATCATGATGTTGATGATGCGACTGATGCTGATGATGAGCTGGAGGAGGATGAGGCGGCGGAGGAGGAGGATGAGCAGGAGGAGGAGCCGGGAGGGTCGAGACGCACTCGTTTTAGTAGAAGAGGGTTGATGACGAACACGATCAGGAGGACGCGACGGTTGCGGATGACCTTGTCGATGACGTCTTGGGCGAGGAGGAGACAGGAGTTCGCACACACACACACACACACCATACTCACGGCCGCGCGCACATTAGACACTTCCACACAACACAGACACAGACACAGACACAGTCGTAAGGCACGGCGGGCGTGGCATGTTGTCGGCCCCAGAGGGGGTGCGCAGGGGGTGCGGTCTCTATGCGTTGCAGGCTCGCAGGGCACGACAGGCGTGGCACTTCCTCGACACCAGAGGGGGTGCGCAAGTGGTGCGGTCTCTATCCGTTGCAGGCCCGAAGGGCACGGCAGGCGGGACACTTTCTCGACACCAGAAGGGGTGCGCAAGTGGTGCGGTTTCTAAATGTTGCAGGGTGGCAGCGCGCGGCAGGGTTGGCATTTTCTTGGCACCAGAAGGGGGTGCGCAAGGGGGTCGGTCTCGATGCGTTGCAGGCTCGCAGTGCACGGCGGGCGCGGCCTTTTCTCGACACCAGGAGGGGTGCGCAGGGGGTGCGGTCTCTATTCGTTGTAGGCGCGCAGGGCAAGGCAGGCGTGGTACTTTCTTGACACCACCGGGGGTGCGCAGGGGGTGCGTTGCAGGCGCGCAGGGCACGGCATTCTCGCATGCGTCGCAGGCGTGGCACGTCTTCGATGCCATAAAGGGGTTTCAGGCTCGCAGGGCATGGCAGGCTCTGCGCTGTCTCGATGCCAGAGGGGGTGCATAGAGGGTGGGGGCCTATCCGTCTCAGGGTTGCAGGGCGCGCCAGGCGCGGCACTTCTTCGATGCCAGGGGGCGTTCGTTGGGGATGTGGGCGCTACCCGTTTCAGGCTCGCAGGGCGTGGCAAGCGTGGCATTTGCTCGACGCCAAAGGGGGTGCGCAGGAATGGGGGGCGCTATCCGTTTCAGGCTCGCAGGGTTGCAGGGCTTGGCAGGCGTGGCACTTCGCGACAAACGAGGAGGCGCACTGGGGGTTGGGGGGGCGCTATCCGTCTCGGTCTTGTAGTAGTTGTAGTTGCAGTTGTAGTGGTAGTTATGCTTCTCGTAGTATTGGTAGTTGTGGTATTACTTGCCTCGTAGTAGTAGTAGTAGTAGCAGTAGTAGTAGTAGTCGTAGGAGTAGTAGGAGTAGGAGTCTGTGAATAGAACCCGTATACTACCCTCATATATACTCTTTATCCTCACCTCTCCTGCGCCTGGCCGTTTGGGCTCAGGTATTGGACTAGATCGATCAGACCTTTGATCGTGCAGGAGGAACAGATATCCATATTTCCCTCCTCTCCTCTACCAACGGATCAGGGGTTCTGTACCTTTGTACTCTAACCCCGTACACAGGTTATCAGCCCTTTAAAACTCACAGTTCATCGAACCCCGCGTCGCGATCTCGCACGCGGCCTCGATGGAACCCAAGCGGCGCATGCGCCGTAGGGGGTCCATCGGGGCCTCGCGTCCGAGCTCTCCGACGGCGCGACGGCTCGGTGATGAGTTGGAGAGCCTTAGTGTGGACCGTGTAGGTGCCCCAGGTACCCCCCCCCCAGCTCAGACGGGCCCGAGGCGCGGCTAGCTGCTGAACTTCACCGCCACGCCGCCCGCGGGGGGACAGGAGAAGGAGTAGGAGCAGGCAGTAGGGAGTTTCACACGCCTACGTTCGATCCTCCATCTCCTCCTCCGTCGGGGGCAATCCCAACTGCGTCGGGCGCGAGCCCCGCTGGTCCTGATACTCCAGGGCGCTTTCGCGCTAACCGCCGATGGATTTCAGGTGCTGGCACGCCCAGCCCTGCGACCGCTCCTGTAGCGGAGCACGTAGCCACCTTCGAGGAACTCAGTAGACCAGGGGCGGCACAGCCGCAGACGCAGCACCCCAAGGTATCATCTCATGAGACCACGCACACACACACACACGGTCCTAGCCGCAGCTCGTCCTTGCGCAACCGTCGCGGGGCCACAGGCCCATACGACGAAAGGAGGTCGAGCCCGCGCACTGCCTCGCAGAGGCCATGCACTCCTCGCGAGAGGGTGCAGAGGGAAGCTGGCGCTCCCCACCTCTCCATCTCAGACGACCTGCCGGCGGTGACGTCCGCTGCAGGCGAGATAGCTGAGCTCAGAGACCAGGTTGAAACCTTCGTGTCCAGGCAGCACTCTGGACTACTGCAGAGCGTTCAGACGAACGCTGCCAACACTGCTGCTCTACGCCAAGATCTTGACGGCGCCTTGGGGATCATTGGTTCCAGGATCGCCGAAGATCGCCGCATCTTAGGTGAGCTGCAGCACCAGGTCGACCGTGAGATGTCACACTCAGGTGAACGATCGGCGACGGTCGAAAACCTGCGCAACTACCCTCGCGCAGATGGAGCAAAATGCGCTGTTACTTTTATTGCTGTTTTTTTTGGCTGTGTTGTTAAGGTGTGATTTCGTTTTTGTCGAGAGCGTGGTTTTTTATTTTGGGTTTTTGTTATTTTTTTTTTTGTTTTTCTTGTTTTTTTTTTTTTTTCCCGTTATTTTTTTTTTTTGTGATTTTGTATTATTTTTTTGTTTCTAATTTTTTTTCTTGCTACTCTCTTTTGTTTTTTTTTTCCTTTTACTTTTTGGTTTTGTTTTTTTTTGTTTTTTTTATTGATTTGTTTTGATTTTTTTTTTTTGTTATTTAAGTATTTTTTTTGTTCATTTTGATTTGGTGTCTTTTTTTTTGTCTTTTTGATCGTACGCGACACAGGCGTTTCAGCAGTCAGGATTCTTCACGACGAGACCCACGACCAGCTCCGCAACCGACCACCACCATCCGAGGCCACCGACCTTGGCGACGTTCAGTCTCAGATCAACGATCTTCGCTCCCACATGGACCACACTACGGCGACGCTTCGCACCGAAGCACGCACCAACTCGTCGAACCTGATCGGCATGTTGCAAAATACTGAGAGAATTATCACTCAAAGGCTTGATGCGACCAACGCTGTCCTGCAGCCACTCGCTAACCGGATCTCTGAAATCGAGCAGCGTTTTCCTGGTGTACAGGACGCCCTGGCAGAGTTGCGCGTCGGACGAGCCCAGACTGGCCAGCTGGGTTCTCCTCCCACGGTTTACGATTTCGCCCGCCTCACTGACAGGTTGCAGGAGGTTGAGAAGGCGGCGGACCACGCGCAGTATGAGCTCTCCCAGGTCATCTCGTGAGAGAGATACTGACAAGGTACGTGTTGAGGAGCACCTCGCACGTCTGGACAGTGAGTTGGAGGCGCACAACGCCCGTCTCCGAGCCTACGAGCAACGACTTGACCGGCATTCACAACGCTCTCGGGATACTGATGAGTACACACGCCAAAAGGTGGACCAG